AAGAAAAGGATTAATAAATTTTAGAAACTATAATTAAGAAAGAAATATATCTTTATAAGTTTCAAGAATAAAATACTAAAAAAGAAAGAAGTAATATTATAGAAATCTAATAAAATTAATATCTTATAAAGATAGTATAGCCAGGTAGAAGCCTAATACTAATTAATTAATATAAGAATTAGAACTCTTACACAAGAATAATTATAAGTTATATAATATAATTACTTACTTCTAATATAAGATAAAGAAGTAGCTATATAATATAATTATTTATTTTATATTTATTCTTAAGAAGTAGTTAAAAGAGTAAGTACTAAGAAAAATATATAATTAAAGTAACTCTGGAAGTGATTATAAGAAAGTTACTATAAAAATAGTTAAGAAAGAATATATAAGAATACTTATTTACTTATATTTATAGTTTAATTAGTTATGTTTAATATACAGTTCAAGTCTGAGTATATATTTAGTCTAGTTTCTACTTATCCACACTTTACTAAGTATCAAGTATATATACTTGATATATCTTACTTCTCTTCTTACTTATTAATTATCTTCAGACTATCAGGTTATCTTGTTAATTAATATAATCAGTACAGCCACTATGTGAGGCCTCAGGTTAGTCCAACCTATTATTAATAAGCTGATAGGAAGATCACAGGGCGCTCTTCACCTCAAACAACCCAAGCCACTAATACTAGTACAGCAGAAGCTCGAAGGGATCCTAGGGTCTTGACAGATCCTTTCAAGCTTCTGCTATACTAGTATTAGTAACTTAGATTATTTAAGATAAAGAGTACCCTGTGATCTTTTTATTAGTTATTAATAATAGATTAGACTAATCTAAGGCCTTATATAATAATTATACTAATTATATTAATTAATAAGTAATTTAATAGTCTAAAGATAATTAATAAGTAAGAAGAGAAGTAAGATATATTAAGTATATATACTTAATACTTAGTAGAGTATAGACAAGTAGAAACTAGACTAAATATATACTTAGACTTGATTATATAGTCTTAAATAATAATATTATTAAATATAACTAACTAATCTATAGATACAGGTAAATAAGTATTCTTATATATTCTTCTCTAGCTACTCTTATAATAACTCTTTTATAATTACTTCTAGAGTTACTCTAATTATATATTTCTCTTAATACCTACTCCTCTAGCTACTCTCTGGGAGTAGGCATGGAGTAGGTGATTATATTATATGACTTGTAATCCTCTTTGTGCAGGGGTTCTGATCCTTATATTAATTAATTAGCATCAGGCTTCTGCCTGGCTGTGCCGCCTTTGAGGGGTATTAAACCTGTTGGGTTTCTGTAACAATAATAATTAATAATTAAATAATTAATTACTAAATATAGGAGAAATATAAAGTTTTATAACTTAATATATTAATAAAATTAATTTTTAATATTATTAAAAAAAAAAAAAAAATAGTAAAGCTAATACTCCTAATCTAAAAAGATTAATTTATTATTAAAATAAATTAAATAATAATAATACTTTAATACTTATCAGGCATAAGTACTAGATTACTTTATAAAAAAAAATAAAAGATTTTTATTTATACTAAGACAAACTCTTCTAATAAAGTAAAATTATAAAATCTAGTTTATATAATAACTTAAGATCTGAATTATAATCTTCTATTTTTCTTTTTTTTATATTAATTCTAGATTATATGAATACTCTATTCTAAAGATAATAGAACTTTACAGGATTCCCCTAATTTTCTAGCTAATCACAAGCCACGCTCAGCACTCTGGAATGGAACCCTACCCATTTTTGAGTATGGTTCTGTTCCACCCACTTATTAGGGGCTAAGCCCTACCACGACAACAAGCTGACCGCCCAGGGCGGCTTGGCAGAATCAGTGGTGGTAACATTTAATCTGGAAATCCAGCAGATCAGGATTTGGATCCAACTTTTGGATCCTGATCCGCCCCATTTGGAGGTCTAAACAGAACCATACTTGAAAATAGGTAGGGTTCTGTTCCACCCACTTATTAGGTTAACAGGTAGTTAATCTGACTAGAATCTTAATTATATTAATCTAAATAAGTAAAATATAAGTGTCTTGACACCAAGGATAGTCAAAATAGTTAATTATTACTATTTTTTTATACCATGGTCAGGTATAAATGGAGGGTCTAACCTGACTGTGTACCAGCAGTCAGGTTAAGGTGAGGGTCCTTAACCTGGCCTGGCCTGGCCGTTGCCTACTCTAGTACTAATAAAATTCTAGAAAAATATGTTCCTGTCTAAGGAGAGGCAGTGCTATTAGATAATATAAATTATAAATCTTCAAACTGTGTTTATGGGTGGTACTATTACCTGGAATATGCCTATTAGACTGGATCAGAACAGATCCTTTTGAGGTCTACACCATCTATTCGTTCTTGTATATAGGCGCAGCTAGTTTAACAACCAATTAGCCACCCCTAACACTAGGTTACTTTATAATCTTTTTATATAATACTTCATAAAAAGTTTTCTAATCAAGTTACTTGTTTGGGATATGATTAAGCAGATATATAGCAGTATTAACTATTTCTGGCTAATAAGCTATTGGGATTCCGGATACTTCTGAAGCCATGTTTTTGTAGTGATTATACACTCCACCCAAATCCAACTTTTGGATCTAGATCCGCCCCATTTGGAGGCCTACCAACAATTGTTCCCTGGGCAGTCCTCAAAACGACCAATTCCAATCCAACGGTAAGAATGATTTGGATTGATCTTCATGCATCCTGAACGCCGTTTCTCGCACCCAACTTGGCATGAGCATTTTAGATCAGGTGATTCCACAAGCCCAAAACCAATAGCCGTGCCAGCACGAGAATCAACCATCATACTGCCACGGCCCTCAGGGACGTTCAGGCAACCAGGGTTTGCCATCTCAACCCCCTCTTTAGAGCAGTTTGAGCAGTCGTCACCATCACAGAAGTAGGCCCATGCATTAGCCCTGGGGACTAGAAAGTTCGTGCTCGGGACCGCAGTAGCGAGGTTCGTCATAACCGCGAGAAGCAGTCCGGCTTTGAGCATGTGCATCCTGGGAAGGTGGGTAATTATTAGTGTGTGGGCTGTATGGGGAAGAGAGCAGGAAGGGAGACTCGATGGCTTGGTACTTGATTATGAGACTGGGTAATGAGCTGGATATTTCTTAATGCAGCGTGTTGGTATTGTGGTTGTAAGTTGTAAATAATGATTCAATGAACACTATCAGTTAAGACTCAAGAGGGTAGGGCCCAGGGGTGAGGAGAGCATTTATGCCAATGGATTATTGCAAGAACTGCCTTTTCTGTCCATTAGAGAAAGGTAACTAACTAACACTAGGAGCTAATCCTCACATGTGGATCATGAATCATGATCTTCTGTTTTTAGATGTTAGATCCTGTAATAGAAAATGACCAACACCAACAACATTAACTGCAAGATATAACTCGTTACAACTTCATTCTCATGTTGGACACCGCCCCCTTTTTTTAATAGGGGCAAAGGATTAGTGGTCACTGTCTGATAATCTATCCTTTTCACCTATTACTGCTAGACCATGGGGGCGGGAAGATACAATGCTGTTGGACCCCACTAAGAGTGAGACTACTATAATCACTAAATAATCCATAGCACCCCGCGGCAGGATGAGGATATTGCCTTGTTGAAAACCCCTTGGTATTAACTTCAACTGTCCACCTCCTGCAGCAGGGCATGGATAATTGTGCATGGACCATGGTCACCATGGTTAGTGGGCCCCGGCATAGGATCAGGATTGTCTCGCCCGGAGCATAATCTGGCAGCCCCAGCTATTCTATGGTCATAATATTCAATGTGTAAAAGCAACTACCCCACCTTATGACAGGACGTTATTTATAAGTTTGGTTTATTCACTAGCAAGAGCGTGATTGTCCCTGATAGTAGAGCAAGGCCGTGTACGCCCAGTAGCCACCGTCTCCTTTCAAGCAAAGCGAGTGCTATCGAGGGCCGTGGGCATTTTGGAGGCCTAACAGGGGGGCTTTCATTTGCTATGTAAAACTAGAGAGCTGGTGAAGCAGGGTCTGTTTGCTCCAATCATTATGTTAGACTCCTAGGAAATGTTCGCCTCGAGCACAGTGGTCATATCGGGGTTGAACCCTTCCAGGATTCGTTCCCTCTTCAGTGCGCTGCCTGGATATTAAACCAACTCTTCCAGATATTACAGTCACAATAATGTCTTGACCTTCTCTGTCCTCGGTGCCCATGTTGGCGACCTATCTGCTGTGTTCATGGCCAAAAGGGAGGAGTTCAAAATTAGACTTTTTGACGTGGTAAGAAGATCCCGCACAGGTAGAAGTATGTTGGCTCTATTGCTGTTTTGATTCTGTTGCTATTCCTTGGAATGTGATATATCTTGGTTACTGACACAATTTTAATTCTTCTATGTGTTACTATTGTACGAGTCCAGCGCCATTTCAGCTTTCTATTGCTAAGTTCCCCTGAGTAGGACCACGTACAACTTTTCTATGACAGTGCTTGTAATTGATCTGATAAAGGTATCTAGTAAGCAAAGTAGGTATAAAATATACGTAGTCCTGTCCATTAGTCTGGAGAAGCTCAACACTTGCCAGATAGAGTTGAATGGGGTATCTAACTTTAATCCAGGCTATCAGAAAGCCAGGAGTCAGGGGCCAGGGCCCAGGTTTAATTATATGGAGTCATCACTGACTCAACTTGACTGTACATACAGGTGTTACTCCTTACTAGATATGGAGTGAAAGAAAGCAAAAGAGAGAAGATTGATTCCTTAACTTAAGTAGCTTCCACCAGCTAATAAATACATATCAAGGAAATGGCAAGCACGATTGCTGCGCAGGACTGGAGAACGTTGCAGGCTGAAGTGATTATCGATTTACCTTACACACCACATTTCAATTTCCCCCTGGTTAAGCATGTTTGCCTTACGTCGCCAATTCTTGTCTATAATGTGTGACATGGGTGCCGGGATTCTCAAACAGTGTACTGTCGCATGAGCCACCCGGACTCAGGGCGACCAGAACAGCTCACCGCATCAAAGCAAGTTCCTATATCATAGGCGCCATACTCGTAAAAGATGTTCTGCTTATCCTCGATATCCGACGCGTCCAAGTTCACTGGCAGCGAATTGATCCCGTATCCCATGTATCCCGTGAAATCAAACTCCCCATTTGCCGCTTGCGACGCGTGGTCTGCAAAAAAACCAGATGTATAGTGGTCAGGATGATCCCCGTCACCGATGCTATTCACATAGTCGAGGGTGTTGATGCGGTCAGGCTCAAAACCCTCAATCATTTGCGTCAGCACATCTAGCAGCCCGTCCCTGGTGTACCTCGTGTTGGAACCGTCTACTGTTCCAATGGAATCGATATCCTCCTCCCACAGTCTCATCAGACTTTCGAATCCGGTAGAGTCGTATCCGATACCCCCAAGGCCCCCGTCAGGCATGTGCATGAACACCAGCGAGATTTGCGGCATGTCACGCAAAGTGAAAAGGGAAATATCATAGTCGTTGATGCCGAGATCGCGTTCGTCCCAGATATTGGATGCGCTGGCCATGCGGCTGTAGGCTGCAAGGGAGCCTATCTGACGCCCCATCCAGTAGTCTGGGCCTAGCCCTGCGTCACCAGCTGTGAGAAAAACAGTGCGTACAGCACGGCCCCATACTATTTCGCGAATCAAATCCGGGCTCATAAAGAGAAGGTCGTCGTCTTGATGAGCAACTATGTTGAGTGTTTGGGCAAAACTCAGGCCAATGGCGGCCATCAAAGCTATGGTATAGACGATCATTTTGAATTGCATGATGGAGGAAGGTTTTGTGGACAAACACTTAGCAATTCTCCGACTTATATGCTCGCGAGATCGGTTCGGTCGGGCCTTTCTTATAACTCTCCATTTCCTCTCTGAGTGGTCTCTGTCAATGGAAACAAGGGCTGGGCTTCATTCTGCCTGACCGTTTCATGTGTGACGGTCCACGATCATACCAAAACATTGGACAAAAACAACCCAGTGACCACAAACATTCCTCAAACACGAGTTGCTTTGCCAGCATGATTTGAACCCTTGCATTCTTGCGGTTAATAAGCTCTCCTGAGAGGCCGGACCCTCTAGCCGGAATATGCAGCCTGACATGACCCATCTTCCCAGGGTTGGACCGCCATCACAGCTCAATACGGCACAAATATGCGGATAGATTATACCATTCTAGTAATTTCCACCTAGGTAAGAGCTATCACCGCAAACTTGATTTAATATTTCAACTGTAGTTCATATGAAATAGTCATAATAGCTGTTACGAGGTTACATTCCCTGACATATTATTCTAGTCCTTACTTAAAAATCCATACACTCATTCCGAATTGCTCCCAACCCTAGACACATCTACCTACCTAGTCGGTCGGAAAGCGTATCGGGCACATCCGGCTTCAATCCAACCGCCCGCGCCGTCATTTTCAGTACCTAGAATCTGTTAGCCAGGGAGCCCATCATGGAAGGAGGGATAGATACTCACAATGAAAAAAGTTACCGCGAAGCAAGGATTCACAAGTTACCTCCTTACCCTTATACCGGTAGTCCTTGCCCAATGGATAGGCGTGTGACTGCTCGGTGTCTCCACCATCCAGTTCACAACCGTCCACCCAATAAACCGAGAACTTGTAGTCATGCGGGTCATTGAAGGTGCCGGATTGTTTTGTCTCGACATAATGGAGGTCTGTCTTCTTGCCCTTGATGACCTTCAATTCCTCTCTCTTTTCTGCTCCACAGGCCTTCCAAAGTAGGTCTTTCCACACATCCTCGCCTGTCTGCGTGTCTGTGTGGTCCGGAAATTCGTCATTGTCGTGACAGTGTTGTTTCTGGATCTCTTTCTGGCCCGTCCAACGTACTTCGTAGGAGTAGGTGCCACAGCCCACATCCAGAGCCCCATTCGTGGCCATCATATTCTGTTGATTGCCCTTTACTCCACATTTTCCTTGGGAGATTGTGTAGAACGCATCTTTGCAGCTCTTGGTGCAGGGCCCGTCATTCGTTGGCGCAAACTTCAGTGTGGTCTTGAACTTGGTGTAAGACTTGGAGTTGGCTGGAGGGGTACGTTTTTCAAGGAAGTGCGGGACATCGCGCTTGATGAAAGTGCTGTTCTTCCCCGAGCTATCAACAGCCCATTCCAACTCTTTCTTCTCGTCCACAGCCCCACAAAAGTCGTCGGTGAGAGTGTCTCGGAACAGCGTCCCTGGGAGTCCAGTGGCATCGTCAGAGCACCCCTCGCTCGCGGTGATGCTGTACGAATAGGAAGCACCACACTTGTCAATCGTGCCGTCGGCACTCTTACGAGTAGAGTGGCTGTTTAGCTCGCCTATAAGTGTCCAGTTAGTATTGGTGAAAGTTGAATGGAGGGTTGTAGACTCACATTGTTTCATCAAGTCCATAACGGCATCCTTGCAGGTTGTCTTGCAGCCCTTGCCCACCTTTCTAGTGAAGTGGAAGCTGTATTTTCCGTACTCATCCGAGTCAATCATTGAGTTAATAAGTCTGGCCTCGTCCTTTTCACCGCTGCAGAATTTGTCTACCATCCTCTCCATGAAACCGGGGTCAATGTCGACTGTGTCGCTTGGGTCGCCCCGCAAGTAGGGTCAATCCTCTCTCTGCCAGCCTCCTCGGCAACCTCAAGCAGTTTCTGCCGAAGGCTGCTCAGACTAGCCCGCATAGCTTCAGTCTGCACCAATCCAGAACTATGGATACCCTTGTCTCTGGGGTTGCACTCGCACTCGTTGAATTCCCCTTCCTACTAGGTTGTCAGTGACGGGCCAAAGTAGAGTGTAGAGTCTTTAGCTTACAGCCGTGCATTTAGTGTCATCATCCCCATCCTTCTTCTCTCCCTTGCAGTAGTCGGCCTCACAATTAAGGTATTTCTCGTCCAAATTAGGACACTCAGGCTTGCTGTCCTTGCATTTGCAGTCCTTGTGGAGACCCTAGGTTAAGATTAGTTGGATATCACAGTGCATTGGGCCACCATCCGCTACTTACCACCACACATTTCTCGTCGACACCCTGACAGCCGTCATCGTCACAATCAGGCATGTTGTCATCCCCGTCAGCAGGACAATCGTCAGTACAAGGACAGCCTGCGTGATCGCCCACTGTGCACCAGTGCTCAAGCGCCTTACAGTCCTTGCACTTGACCTCGGTATAGTCCATCGGACATGTATCAGCGTCCTTGGGGTGAGGGACCCCGGGTGGGGGGGGTAAAAATCCGATAGGGATGATGAAAGGAATCACCCCCACGATGGGATGGACACCACTGTTGCCATCCTCGTCACCTGTGGTGCACTCGCAGGGCTCCTCGGCATGATAGCCCATGGGCTGCTGCAGGCCGTACCGTTCAATCTCCAGGGGGAGCCGTTGCAGAATCATTAGCTTGCAATGGCCTTTCTTATCGGGGTCCTCTCCTCCACAGAGGGCATCATCACAATGCCACTTTTTCTGCCCAAGTCTGCGTAACACTCTGTCAGCGGCTTTGTTTGTCCAGAGTCTCAGTAGGTTACTTACGTGGCGGGACAGTGTGTTGCGTCAGACCAACCCCCCGGGGAGTAGGGTACCCTTTTCGCCAATGCCACCTCGGCCACAAGACCGGCAGCTAGAAGGAAAGAGAGTAGATTCACCATGGTGCTTGGCTGCAAGGTAGAAGGGTACAGCTAGAGACGTGAAGAGAGGGATTGGAGGTCAATCATCTTACGGCGGCCGCAAGACCTGATATAGGTACAATGCTTTCTCAAAAACACCCCAGCGGCAGACGGCCCACGGATGTTCCAGCGACAAGGCACACTTTGCTTTCCGCTAGCGATTCGGCTGAATCCCGCCCGAGATGAAAATAACCGCAAATTGACTAGCCATCGCGGGGGCCAGTGTATCACTTGGGGCTAAAATGTATATTATTAGGTTCCGTAGTGAGCGCGGAGTACTGGGTCTCGCATGCTACCGGCGGAAGATACCTAGATTCCTTAGCGTTGTGGGTAGCTTTGGAATCCTTGCTCTAACACAGCACTGTTGATGTTCTACAAAATTAGGGTGCATGACTAGTACTAGTGCTGATGGTGATAGACTCGAACTGGGTCCGTTCAGGAACGTAGTATTTTTAGATAGCTGTGGGGGCCGTGCGACAATGGGGGCCGAGCACGGTGATTGGGTTCTGCAGCTTCGATTGCTAACAGTCTAGTTGACTACTGCTGTTAGTGATTACTACGTAGTGCTGCTTATTCGGTCCTGCAAGTCTATCTTCTATAAGCCCTAAGCAGACCCACTCAAGATGTCAGCTGGAATACTTCTTCATCGACCAATCATTACCCAACCCTGATGGCGATACAGGTCTAGAATTTGTGCTACTATTCGAACCTCAACTTTCCAAGTAGATTTCTCATTGTCACAAGTGCAAAATGCAATATACCCCCTGCCAAGCTTTCGGGCCAAAATGTGAGGCGCAGTTGTTGGTGTCCTTTGCAAGGCAGACTGGACAATTCTCATACATCTGGTGTAATCCCATAACGAGTATATAGACTTGGGTGGGGATTGGTTTGAAGATTCTGGCACAGAGCAACATTGGATCCCTCCCCTCACAACTCCCCTTCGTCCATACAATGGCTTTGTTACGGTCGGTGATTCTTCTGGCGCTGGTGGCCTTCAATCTATTTACAGTCGGTAATGCCTGGAGACTGGACAAAGAATCGTGCGACCGTTAGTTTCCTCGTACCTTCCCTCCTGAAGTCAATCACTCTAACACCATGCAGGACACCCACTATCGAAAACTCGCCTATTAAATGGCCTTCCCAAAGCATTAAAAATGGTGGACAATGCCGTCAAGATGCTTGACAAAAACGATGATGAAACTTTTAAACTTCGAGATATGCTATTCCCCAAGCTCGCCTTCCACAAGCTTAACAAGCCAAGAGGTGAGTTAGTCCCTTTTGTGTGTGGAATCCCATTGCGTACTAACCATATGATGATTGTCCTAGAGGCATTGCAAACAGTCTCCGATGCGATGGTCTTGAATTCGGGCAGAGACGCCGGTGTCAAAGATATGCGGGACCCAGTAAGCTCCACCGCTCCTAACTCTACAAATCTCAACCACTGATTTCCACAGATAATCTTCTGCGACCTAGACCGATGGGAAAAAGTCGGCTCTGCCAAACGCGGCGAGCCGCAGGCTTACAGAAACAAACTGACACAAAAGTTCGACGATAACGCAGACGGGATGCTCACCAAATGTATGCACAAAAAAGAGGTCGCGGCCTATTCCTCCAGATTTGAAGGGGAGGGTTCCGAAAATAGTCAGGATTTTATCCAACTTTGCCCCTGGTGGTTGGAATGGGTGGAAGGAGACGAGCTTCAAAAGGATCTCAATAAATGGACCGACGCGGAATGGGCCAATATGAGGTTGCCTCCTCAAGCCTCCAAGCCGGGGAAGGAGACCTGGCTAGATGCGATTCTCACATTTGAGCGTAATCTTATCCATGAGGTTGGCCATCACCACCACGTCTCTGACCATCTAGGCCAACGCTAATTTTGGTTACAGTTCTCTCACACAAGCAATGGTGGTAAGACGGACGATATGAAGGGCCCGGATGGATCGATGCTGTATGGATGGAAACAATGTGTCAACACGCCCGTTCTTGATAAGTTTAAAAATGCCGACTCTCTCGGCCTTTTTTGCGTTGGTATGTCAGCCCCTCTCATTTTCAAAAAGATCATCCCTAACTCATGATCCTTCCAGCCACGGACTTGGTGGATAAGAAGATGCAGAGGCCACTGAAGGATGGAAATTTGGAGAGGATGTGTCCTGGCAAGGGAAAGACGTATGAGAATAAATGTGCGGTGATGTAAACATGATCAAGTAATATGGGCTCCCCACTGGGTGGCCCAGATGGTTGGGATAGTGAAAGGAGGACCACATCATGACACGCTATATCCAGCCATGTAATAGTTTTTGCTCTACCAATACAAGATGTGAACTATGTCCAAAATCGACAATGCTCCTAAAACAAGTATGTGAATCGGGCTGTCCCCGTTTATTTTCACACCACATTTACCAAGTCAATCAATGCTGGGGCTTCCTGTGATGGAGGAAAAGAGTGGCGAGTCCGAACAAAAACCTTCTGCATTCCTGGGGACCGCTGTTCAAATAGCTTATACAGCTTTGGCATGTCAGTCAATTGCACAACATGGGTGACCATGTCAAGGGGGTTGATCTTTTGCTCCCGTATCAGCTCGAGCAAATGCTTCCAGTATTTCTGGACGGGCGCCTGGCCATTGCCAATTAATCGGATACCTGTCTGCATGATAGCACCAATATTGAAATGGTTTGTCTGGTCTGGTCAGACATCAACGTTAAACCATTTGGTCTATATCACTTACATAGCCAGCATAGACACCAGTTACCCCAATCCGTCCAAACGGCCTCACAGATGTGATCATCTCGTTCAAGATCTCCGACGTGTCGGTTTCGGCTCCTGACAGCATCTCCAAATAATGCGTCCATCCCTTGGCATACTCGCCGGCAGCACATTCCAAAGCAACATCGACCCCACCGGAGGCCATTCCCTTGAGTTTGGAAGTCACAGATTCCCTCCTGGATAGATCGGTGAAATTAAGGGTCTCAACGTTGGGGGTCTTGCTCCTGACGAACTCCAGTCTCCAGGCACCATTTCCACCATCAACCAGGATGACTCGACTGGCTCCCTGCTGGAGGCTGAATTGCACGACCATCTGGCCAATGGGACCAGCGCCCCATACTGCAACCGTATCACCCTCTTTCACCCCGGTGTCCACCACGCAGTGATAGGCGGTGGCCAGGACATCAGATAGATACAAACCCTTCTCATCAGGAACATCTTCAGGCAGGACCAAAAGATTAACATCGGCATTGGGAACACGAACATACTCTGCCTGTCCGCCTGCAAACCCACCCGTGAAATGACTGTACCCGAAGATACCTTGAAATAGATGTTAGATACCCATCTAACCCATGGCCATATAGTGAATCGTACCTGACGTTCGCTTGCCATACATTGCATTCGTGATAGTATTAGAATTCGTCCGTTCACACGCCGATGTTAATTCCATCTGACAATTTCGGCATTGCCCGCAGGCAATTGGAAACGAAGCCACAACGCGGTCGCCCACCTTGCAGCCAGTGACGCCCGGCGCAATACTTTCAACAACACCACAGAATTCGTGGCCTAACACATCGCCTTTCTCCAGCTGTGGTATCACGCCTGAATGACTGTTAGCTGTTCGATGTTCACACCAGTAGCAGGCGGATAACAAAGTACTTACCATGATACAGATGGAGGTCGCTTCCACAGATGGTTGAGCCAGTCACCTTGATCACGGCATCTCTTGGGTCAATGACCCGAGGCTTAGGCATGTCCACTACGTATTCTTAGCGCGGTGCATGGCATAAACTTAACGTCCTCTTCCAAAGACTTCTCACCAATTTCCACTTTGTTCTTTCCCGCCCAGACGGTTGCCTTGATCTTCTCCCCAGTGTCCTGAGCACACTCCACCTTGTTGGTATTACTGATGTCGGTCGTCACATCAGCGTTATCGTCATGTCCGACCAAATCTTCCACGAGATTAGCGATCTGGGATGCAGCCATTATGATACTGTTATACTAGGTAAGATAAAAGTGACCATAAACATACGGAGTTTCCTGATCACAGGCGAGTGTTGCCTTCAAATTGACCTCGATGTGCGGGAGTTGGGTCTGGCCAGCTAGGGCTGACATCATTGTGATGTCGTCTCCCGTCTGACCAACCTTCCCCATCTGGCAATCTTCCATCATCCGGCTCTAATTCCAAGCCATACCATGGTTGTTTTTCGACCACCAAACTTCATTCTAGCGTTCATAAAACTCAAGGGCGCGCTCTATTTACTATCCGAAAGGCTATCATGCTTGCCGCAGGAGTTCTAATAAGATTAGTCACTGACACATATTCTCTACCGTCGCAGCAAGGATTTTATAGAATAACACGCTGGTTGGAATAGTTTGTGTCTTATTATGATGTCAAGAAGAGATTCATTACTGAGATCTAAGTCTACTTTACAACAGACTGTTAACTAAGTGGTGACCCCAAATATATATATTTAGGATATCCAAGTCTACTATAACCACAAATATACAACCCTATTAATCAAACCTCTAAAAGTCGTAAAGCTATCACCTCCACTTCAGTAATTAATAATTATAATGATTCTCTAATATTATCAGATTACTATTCCAATGCTACATCAAAACAGTGTTTGGAAGTACTTTGCCACATATTGATAGTACGGGTCATATCGCGTCAGTGTCACTGACTAAAATATGCTTGGCATGCGGAAATCAGATTCTCCTGTAGGATCCACGGGTTGCTCGCATTTTGGGAGTTAATGCCGAAGGAGACGGTCACATTCATGATGATTGTGGTATCTTTGCGAAAACCATAGAAATTCCAAGTATCTCAAAGGACTAAGGATAAGCTTGTAGGAAAACTGGCAACTTAGCTGGTGTACTAACCAATGACATTCACTACGGCCGCAGCAATGGCTTGTCCCTTTGGCGTAGCGGTATTTATATCCCTTGACCGCCACTTGCAGGAGCTGGTCAAAGATTGTTCATTCCACTTTTGCTCCAGCATTGCCAAACGCGTCAAGTAGTGTACTTGGCTTCATCCCCAGTCAGTATCATCCACCCTTTTGCTCTCAACCTCTCAATAGGTGGGAGATACCCTATCATGATGAGTGGGGCGAAGGCAATGGTCCGCTGGATGATGTGGGCGCCCGTTGTCTTGCCATGCATCGGGGGAGTCCCCACCGCGCACACCCGGAATGGGTCCTACGCGGGTGTGCACAATACGCAACACGATCAGGATTTCTTTTTGGGTGTCCCATACGCGCAGCCTCCGGTTCATGATCTGCGATTTCGGGTACCCGAGCCGCTTAATGAATCGTGGAACGGCATTCGGTCTGCTACGACTTACTCTCCCGGGTGTATCGGGTATGGTGATGATGGACTGGCACTCGATCGTACGCTCATGTCGGAGGACTGCCTCTATTTGAACATCGTGCGGCCGTCTGGCCTTCAACCGCACACAAGGGTCCCCGTTGCCGGTAGCGTTGATCAATCCAGCCCATCTAGCCCTTCCCTCGGATGCTGACGGGCCCCTAGTGTGGATCCACGGCGGCGCTTACGCCGAGGGCGCGTCGCGCGACCCACGCTACAACCTTTCCTTTATAGTCGGCCAATCAGAGGCCATGGGCCGGCCGATGGTGGGGGTGAGCTTGAACTACCGCCTGCATGGCTGGGGTTTCTTGTGGGGGCGGGAGATGGAGGAAGCGGGGGCGAGCAATTTGGGCCTTCGCGATCAACGGTTGGCCCTGACCTGGTTACAGGAAAATATCGCCGCGTTCGGAGGCGACCCATCTCAGGTCACCATCTGGGGCGAGAGTGCGGGAGCCAACAGTGTCGGAACACACCTGGTCGCGTATGGGGGCCGCGACGATGGTCTTTTCCGCGCAGCCATCGGCGAGAGTGGCGCGCCCACTCTCTACCATCCCTACCAGACGGTCGAGGACTGGCAGCCCTACTTCGATGCCATCGCCCGTGCGGCGCAATGCCATGGCAACGCGGGAGTACTAGACTGCCTGCGTGACGTCCCCACGGCCCGATTAAACACCCTATTCAATGGATCCCTGACCCAAGGCGCCGCTTTCGGCCCCGTTATTGACGGCGACTTTCTCGTCCAGAGCGCGACTACGCTGCTACGCAAGGGCGCCTTTGTCAAGGTCCCTTTCCTCCACGGGGCCAACACCGACGAGGGGTGGACCGTGGCACCGAAGGACGTCAACACGACCGATCGATTCAGGAGCATGGTGGAAAGCTGGGGCCTGGACGCCATGACCGTGCAACGACTGTACGAGTTGTACTTGGATCCGGTCGGCGAGCCCGTCGTACGTCGTACGGAGACAATCTTCACTGACCGCAATATCCATGCACCACGACGGCTGGCTAACCAGATCTGGTCGGTCAACAAAATTCCCAGCTACGGATATCACTTCGATCTAGGCAGCGCAAAGTGGCCATCATATCACTTTTGTGAGATCCCCTTCGTTATGTACAACACCATAGGCCTTGGCTACGAGAATATACCCGGTTTACCGTACACACAGGATCCCATGGCCGAGGACAGGCAGAGACTCTCGCGCCTGGCGGATTTGGTTTCCAGGATGTGGATAAGCTTCGTTACCACCTTGGATCCGAACCATTTCGGGGATGAGCCCGATGTGGATTGGTCTGCTTATCGCGCCGAAGAACCAGCTGTAATCATGTTCGACGGCAATGCTTCTGTGCCGGCATACATGGTTCCGGATACATACCGTGCGGAGGGCATTGAACTGTTTGCCAGTCTGCTCGATGGTCCTCTTGGACAGTAGCAGGTTGCACATTGTGACTGGTCATCATGCAATAGACTCTAGTTACAGCTCGGGATGACGGGGCAGACATGTTAATACTTAGTCTCGGAGTAGTGGTTATGTTTTGTGGAGCATAGTACAAGATATTTCCATTCTTGCACGCCGCCTTTACGGTTGGTGGATTGCATCCAATCCAGCTACTATCGCTTCAATGGGGTGGGCGCTACCATTAGTGTTGGAGCATTTCCCACGCTGGTCATGGGCACCAAGTTGGGCGGAAGCCTTTACCCTGTAGATAGAAGGTGGATAATTGCGCTGGTTATAGTTTCAATAGCCCTGTGAACTATACTTAGTGTCTAACAGGGCTTTGTAATTACTATTTCTCTCAAGAGATGAAACTTACTGGTCCACAAGTTTGTCCAGAAGGAGCTAGTCTTACTGTTTATCTTCCATGCAGTGATAAACACAGTATTCTATATTAGTGTCTATCACATAATATGAATGCTCTGATCCTGGTGATATCAACAATTAAGTTACAAGTGGAATATCCTTTCCCCGTGAATTGGTGCAAAATATCAATTCTACAGCAACCAGTGTTGGTGGTGATATTATAGATCTCAAAACCATCAATTACTCTATATGAGTCATTTCTTGTTAACATCCAGTACATACGACCATAGGGTGTGGAGAACAGGGCTTCCCGTCCGCTCAGCCGTACTTAAGCCACACGCCGGCCGGTTAGTAGTATGGTGGGTGACCACATGCGAATCCCGGCTGTTGTATGTTTTTCTTGCCCAGATTTTTTGGTTCTCGTCTTCGCGTTTGGACCAAATATGGGTTCTTCAAATCCGCTAGTCTACTGTAGGTATATACACTTTGGGTAATTAGAAACATGGATTCACTTTCGTTAATCAGGAAAATAAGATACCCGGGACTTAGCTAGAAATGCCTAAATGAGATTTTATTATATAAAAACCTTATGACAAGATCCCTGTAGCTACGGCGGACCATTACTAAAGGCCATGTAGGTCCCTTTTTCTTTCGTCGCGTATCACGCATCGCACCTCTGTTTTTATATATGTCGTCAGAGCTTTGGTTCCAATGCCGCATGAACAGGGCCTAGTAGCGGTCAGAACCCACCGTCTAGTGACTACAAGCGTCTGTGTATACTGTAGAATGTTTACGAGGTCATGATTACCGTGGGAGTGTATAGAGAGCTGAAGAATGATTATATTGATGTTGGTTTGTTGAATTGGTTGAAATCAGCAGACACCGCAATAAAGTTGGCCACCAGGGCCGGCTGCCCGATTCGTCCACATATATGTCTTGCCCATTTTATTACACCCAGTGGGTGATGGTTGCTACCGAAATTAACACTACCTTTGGCCAGTATGAGTTAGACGCCCAGGGGGGTACTCAAGTGACCGGGTGGTTTTATCATGCGGGTCTCCGTTGTCTCACCACCAACTGATATACCCCACACGGTCATCAATATTTGTCCCAGTCCGTCAATTCCATCCTCGCGGAAGGGTGGATCTTACGGAGTTCTCAATGCTCCGCTGCAAGAATGATTTCCTTCATCAGCCCCGCCGCCTCTTCCAGATTCTTACAGAAGCGACTTGCACGATGGGCCTCCAGAGTGACAACAGAAAAGTACACACTGCCGCAATTCTATTAGCATTGGATCTTGATCGCCAGCGAAAGTTGATGTGCACTCACCTCTGATCATAGACCTCATAATGTGACCAGATGGCCTTGGGATCCCTCCAAATGTGCCCCTTCTCCATCATTCCTGTCTCGAAGCAGTGGCTAGTTAGGAGCCGAGGACGCACTTTATTGTATACAGGATCTTGGTATAGCTCGGGAACGTCTTCTGGAGTCGCTGCTAGTGTCTTTAAAGCAGTTAGATTGCGCTCCCATCCGAGGTTGCGTCCAGCCTTGTTGATCGTGTTCACATGCGCGCGGATCGCTTCGACTAGAAGGACGCGGCGCTTGGACAGCGGAATGGAGGAGTCCCCGGCAGCTCGAATGAAGCGAGCGACTGCTGGCACTATCACCTGGATAATGTCGACGCGACCCAGATGGTAGTGTGCTTGGTTGACCGTCTCCCAACATGGAGGCGTGAAGCCAAATGTGGCCAGAGCGGCTAGCTGGACGACCATCTGGAAGACGCTCTTCGGGGACAGTCTGTGCGCCCGTAAGAAGGCCGAGCCGTAGCCTTCAAAGAGTAGGTATGCGTGTTCCGCGTCTTCTGTGGTCGCTGCGTACTGCCTTTGAACTTCGAGAATGCGCGTTTCAAGTGTTGGGTTGGTCTTGAGGGGCAGGTACATAGGAGAGAGGGCTGGGTTTTCAGGAATGACCGCGTCGTCCAGTGGAGCATGGCTGCGGATGGCTGTCGCTTGATCATCCAGAAGCTCAGTGAGCGTCAGAGCGTCCAGCATGCTGTGCTCGCCGATAAAACCAGACGCCCCGTTGCTGCAAACTACGAACTGGATAGACTTATCCTGCCAGCGGTTTGCAGCATCTTTGTGGCCTCCGAAATGGAACTGCCTTGCTCGCTCCGTTGCCGTCAGAGGCGTAGCTTCGTCCAAAGCCACGATGAAAGCCGATGATTCAATGGTGGCGATGCTGGCAGCATTCATTGGATCCAATAGCTGAAGCTCGTCCCTTGCCTCGTCCCATGAGGGTCTGTAGTCGGATGTGAAGATTGGCAAGTTGGAGCGGTCTAGGTCTTGACTTAAGATGGAGCGGAACGCTTGAAAGTAGTCAATGAACGCCGCCGGCTGACCTCCCACAAGAAGATCTAATTGGAATGCATGCCCCCGCCAAAATACCACGCAATACGTGGCACTTGGGTCTCTTTGGATTTCATCACTGCCAACGCGCGGTATCCGCACGCTGTTGAAGATGTATGGCCGATACGCAGTCGTCAGCTCCTGCTCATTAAGCACCGTGGGCTTGACCAACCCAGCCTCTAGCCTCAATTTGAATTGGGTCGCCGTCAACGTAAGCAGAGCAGCGCGCTCAGCTTGCGAATGCTGATGCTTGCTGAGCGGATGACTGAACCAGAAGTTAGACCAAACGAGCTGTGACCTGCGATCGAGGAAACCTGCATGGAGTTGCAGTTCATGCTCCCAGTTCTCGCAATCTGGGTCTGTGTGTCGAGCTACGGCGAGATCGTAGAGGCGGGTGCCCTTGCTGCCTGGTTTTTTGAATTCTTTAGTGAGACGAGCGGTGTTCTCGAATTCCTCCGGAGTTGCGAAAGCTTTGACGCCGGTAAGGTAGGCATCTAGTATTGCATCTAACGGAGGTAAGGGAAATTTCGGGCATTTATTAGGTATCGAGCCATTACTCTGGTTTGATGGCTGTAGCTGATCGTTTTCTGTCAAGTTGGTTGAATGGGTTGCGTTATTGTTCGTGGCGATCGCAATGCCGGTGTCGCCTTGCTGGAGATTCGATGCCTGTTGTCCTCCACTCAATGATAGAGTCTTACCAAACCGCTCTGGCAACCCATCCGGAACGAACTTGGATCGTTGTGCCACTAGATCAGCCAGTCCTTCCAGATTATTGGCATCAAGGATGTCGTGGACTCTAACATCGGCCCCCAGACTCTGTGCTAGCCAATTCTTGAATTCTATCGCAATTAAAGAATCAAGGCCGAGGTCGACTAGAGGTTCATTGAGGTCCAGCTGCTGTGCATTGACAGATACAAGAGAGGATATTTTCTTGATCTGCTCCTCTAGAATGATCGTCCGAGCTTCTTGCAGGCTTGTAGTAGCTTCGAGGCGCCGTCCTACTCCCATCCTCCCACCGGGGGTTGATAAGGAGGCCCCGTTGCTCTTGACGATGGATGCTGCACCAGCACCGGCCGTGCCAGGATGACTGATTAGATCAAGTAAAAGCTGCTTTTGATTTTGTGACACAGAGAGCTCGTTGACGGCTTTGATGATGCGATCGACATTTGTGAGGAGAGTTCTCGACGCGACCGCTTCTTTGACATTGACTACTGCATCCTCTCCCGCGAGCAACACCGTTTTCCCGACGTTCTTGTGATCTTGCACAGCCTTGAATGCGGATGCGACATCGGATATGGACACTGCACTCACAGGCACCAGATCATTCATGTCGCCATCTCGTAGCAACGATAGTACTGTTTTGAACGCTGCGCTTGCCTGGATAGGAAGGTGCCTTAGAAGTTGGACCACATCGAAGGATATGTATTTGGTAGCGCGATCTGCGATTGCGAAGGATGTGGACTGTTGGCTAAGATCAACAACTGTGCCGAATGCCTTTACTGATGCGGCCAACTCGATGGGAAGCGCTGTAGATGAAGCGTTGAATATTACGTCAACGCCTGCACCTTCGGTTAAGCGTAATAAAGCCTTTGAAAGTGCCACGCCTTCCGAATAGAGGATATGAGCTGCCCGCGTAGCGGTGAAAGACTGTAGAGCTTGTTTCTCTGCTTTTGTCTTGACTGTTGCCACCACCCGGACACCAAGAATATTTGCAACAAGTCCCACCGCATGTCCAAGAGCACCACCTGCGTTATGGACCAAGACAGTCTGCCCTGATTCAACCTGGGCACAGGAACGTAAGCAGTAATAAGCGAGCGAGATGTTCCGCGGAAGAGCCGCGGCGAGTTTGAAAGACCACGATATTGGAATCTTCTGCACGAATGCGCTTTTTACTCGTGTCCTAGGAGCAATGAGCAACCAACCGGTTATAACTCTGGGAGGCGTGTGGAGAGTTAATCTCCAACATACCTACTGGCAAAAGCAACACTGGTGTTCCAGGCGCAAACCCGTTCGCCGATCTGAAAAGAGTGCGTCAAGTCAGACCCCACGGCAGTGATGGTCCCCGCGCACTCCCCAATGCTGACGGAGTCTCCCCTTCTGCCAAGGATCACATCCACGTCTGCAGCATCTAACCCGAATGCTAGAGCCTTGACCTCAACTTCGTCCGGCCGCAAAGGAGCTCGTGCAATTTCGTCCGCGACAAAACATAGGCTACTCACTACTCCC